TTCATCGAAGAGTTGTTTATTTCCCAAGTTTTGCTCATCTCTTGCCAGCATACACTTCCAGCCCCTCCACAGGAAGAAAAGAAGAAAGATAAAGATATTCCTGGCCGGGCGCGGTGGCTCAAGCCTGTAATCCCAGCACTTTGGGAGGCCGAGGCGGGTGGATCACGAGGTCAAGAGATCGAGACCATCCTGGTCAACATGGTGAAACCCCGTCTCTACTAAAACTACAAAAAATTAGCTGGGCATGGTGGCACGTGCCTGTAATCCCAGCTACTCAGGAGGCTGAGGCGGGAGAATTGCCTGAACCCAGGAGACGGAGGTTGTGGTGAGCCAAGATTGTGCCATTGCACTCCAGCCTGGGTAACAAGAGTGAAACTCCATCTCAAAAAAAAAAAAAGATATTCCTGCTTTTTCCCAAATGTGTGGATATTTGCGAGAATTTGCAGGGTTTGGGTAGTTCCCAGTATTAGCACTGCTAAGCATGAGGCTGGGGGTAGAAGCTGTGTTTGAATCTTAGATTTCTTTCTTAGTTGTGCCTTTTTGAAGTTTATGCCATGAGGCTGTCCTTGTTTGAATGCTACTGGTCAAGTTTTTATTGCTTTTGAAAAAAGGTTTGTGTTTTTATTTAAATTGCTACTTAGTTATTGATGATGAAGGTCTGTGATCCAATTTCTTTACTCAGAAGTCCCTATAGTTCTTCCCTTTCCAATTTACTTCTTAATCCTTTTCCTTCCAAACACCCTCCCGGTCCAGCGTTTCAATATTATCATCTTTCTAGCCGCCACTAAAAGCCCTCTCTTGAGTGTAACAATGACTTCTTCTTGACAATTTCATTTCCTCTCAGTTCTTACCCTGACAATCCTGTCCTTCCTTCCATATTTTGTTTTGCCTCCACTACCTCCCTCCCCTTCCTTATGAACATGATAATTATTAATAAAATATTTGACAAAACTGGCTAGCCCCATGTCATAGTCAAGCCGGTGTCAGTTTAGCCAGTAGAATCTGCATGTACCTGCTTTCTGCTGAGTACTGTCACCAGGACTGAAAAATAGTTACCAAATTAGCCATGTGCCAAAATCGGTGTTAGTTTTTAAGAAATGTGTAGTGCTTCATTTAGTGTTATTGGGTGTTAATCAAAACAGGCTATATAGGATGGACCTGATTGGCATATCGATTATTAGGAGAGTAGAAAATCAAAAAAAATCCTCAAGGAGCGTATCTTCTGACTGGAGCGTGGCCTTGTAACCATTGCCAAGGATCCAGATAGAATTTCATCCCAGCCCCTTCATAAAACAATAGATTTCTGGGGTGGGGGTGGGCTTTGGTTTTAATTTGTTTTTGGGCATACTGCAGAGGTGACAAACTGGGACCCCTACTATTTGCTGCTAGCTAACTTTGTCAAATGACCCTAGAATCAGCTGTGAAAAAAAAGTCCTCCTTGTCCAAATTAGATTTGTAAGTTGCTTTCACAAAACTGCTAACACACTGAAGGAAAGAAAGAAGACAGATGAAAGAATTCAAAAGAGGTGGTGCAGGAAGGAATAATCATTTTTCTTTCTTTTTCCTTCTGCTGTAGAAAGTGGAAACAGCTTCAGTCATAAGTACACCCTAGAGGTATATGCCAATTTATGAAAAGAACCAGGAAAACTAGTGTTTCACTGTTAAAGATGGAATCTATGACAGGAGTAAGAAGGGCCAGTGGGTTCATTCCATTGAAAGATGGTGCAGAGACTGCTTGGATGAGACCAGCTGCCTTGAATGAGATGGAGCAGAGAACTGAAGAATATCAAATGCCACAGAAAGACATTCCCATAGCCTGTGGGAATGCAGGCCCCATGTCTTAGAGATGCCCAAGGTGTTAGGTTTTTGGGATCCTCTGGGCCTGTCATCCCCAGCACCACTGACAGCTTCAGCTCACTGCTGTTGCCTGCAGGCTTGAGCTCTGAGGGAGGAAGAGGCAGATGCTCCAGGATGGCAACTTGCTGGAAGGCAGGACAGCTATCTTCCTTCAAAATGAAGCAGGGTTCCCAGGGCCTCCTGTGCTTACCTGGACTCACACCCAATTCTGGATACTTGTGCTCTGCAATCCTGTGCAGAAGGATCCAGTTATAATTGGAAAATGTAAAAGGGCAGAATTAAGGTTAACTCTGAATTTCCTGCTTCTCATGCAATTAAATTCCCCCTATTGCCATTGAGTTAATGTAATTTTCCCCCACATCATTGAGCATGAATTACCAGGCAAATATAGGATAAATTAGTATGGGCTACAAGGAGATAATGAAGTAAAATTAGTAAAAAGTTATCATTACGAGTACTTGGATTTTTAAGAATCAAAAATCCTATCAAGCAGCCAGTGAGAAATTAATCTACAAAGTTATCTGTTAAGATATTAAATTTAGGCCAGGCACAGTGGCTCACACCTGTAATCCCAGCACCTTGGGAGGCTGAGGCGGGTGGATCACGAGGTCAGGAGTTCAGGACCAGCCTGGCCAAGATGGTGAAACCCTGTTTCTACTAAAAATACAAAAATTAGCCAGGCGTGGTGGCGGCGGCCTGTAATCTCAGCTACTGGGGAGGCTGAGGCAGATAATTGCTTGAACCCAGGAGGCGGAGGTTGTAGTGAGCCGAGATGGCACCACTGCACTCCAGCCTAGGTGGCAGAGCCAGACTCCATTCCCCCCCCAAAAAGATAATACATTTATAAAATAATATATTAATATATTAGATTGTGATAAATGTCTGTCAACTTTTTTGCAAAATAATTTTTGAATAATAAAAATGATGACTCTAAGAACCTCAAGCAAAAATAATTGTTTGTGTTCTAAATATTCCTCTTGTTTCCTTTGTTATTTTTCTCCATATATCCACTGCAGGGGCAAAGAACAACTCCAGTTGTTGAACAACTGGAGTTGTTCTTTGCATGGTCCATTTTTTTAAGCAATAGTTTTTATTACTGTTTGTATTGTTAGCTCACATGAAACAGCAATAAACAAAGTCTCAGAAGGAGAAGAGAAGTTTCAAGAAATAAATATTTCATTAATGCTCTTAATAGGGAGACTTTGTCTCTGGAAGAAATGGACTGTGACCACCCATAAACACGGAGAAATGGGACAGCCGGCTTCACTAGCATAGTGATAGCTGTGTTTCTGTGTGATGATAGAAGAATGCCTCATCATACAAATGGTTTGCAGATTTCTGTTCCTCCGTAATTCTATCTGTTCTGTAATGCAAAGATCTGTGCTACTGCCTCCATGTCGCAGTTAAGTGGGTCTCATCAGAGTCTCGTGTGGAGTCTGTATTTGCATGCTTGGTTCTGTGGGGAGGGCTTCGGTCTGGAGTAACTCTTGTCTGATCATGTCTGGGCTTACACTTTAAAGGACCCATTTTAAAAGATTGTTTTTTATTTTATTAAAAGAAAAACTTCAAACATAGATCTATTTGTTACTCAATATCATCAAGTTCCAAGAAAGTTAAATATTGTTCTTGTTTCATATTCTATATTTATACAAAGTATATCTTATTAAATCTTAAGACGAGGAAAGGTTGACGCTAGGGTTACCCACTTAAAAAATAAAAATACAGAGCAGAAAAATCAGTAAAATTCAAATTTCAGTTAAATAGCAAAAAAATTTTTAATGTAATTATGCCCCCAGTTTTACTGGGCACCTATTCTTTTTTTTTTGAGACAGAGTTGTTGCCCAAGCTGGAGTGCAGTGGCGTGATCTCGGCACACTGCAACCTCTGCCTCCCAGGTTCAAGCGATTCTCCTGCCTCAGCCTCCCAAGTAGCTGGTATTACAGGCGTGTGGCACCACGCTGGCTAATTTTGTATTTTTAGTAGAGGTGGGGTTTCTCCATGTTGGTCAGGTGGGTCTTGAACTCCCCACCTCAGGTGGTCCACCTGCCTCTGTCTCCCAAAGTGCTAGGATTACAGGCATGAGCCGCTGCCCCCAGCCTGGGCATCTATTCTTATCTGACAGCCCCAGTTAAGAACAAATCAAGATTCCAGAGTTAAATGGACTGGAAAAGGGGGTCATAATACTCAAAGTACAAATTAAATCTAAATGAACATTCATACTTGAATTTTTTTAGGTCTTTATGTGGCTTTCCTTTTTTTTCTCTCTCTTTTTTTTTTAATTTAAAATTTTTTTTATTTTTCCACAAAGGTTCCACTTTCTAAGGGTTTAGAAATATCTTTTAGAGATATTTACTAAAACTTTTATTGATGAAATTATGTAATGTTTGGGACTTGCTTCTAAATAATACAAGAAGTGGGAAGGTAGATAGGACAGGACGGGCTGTGCATTGATGGGTACGTGAAGGCTTTGTCGACTTTTGATCGTACTTCATATTTTCCATAGTGAAGGAAAATAAGATGTGTGTGTATGTGTGTGTAAGCCATGCCTTTAGGTTAAAAAAAACTTATCATCTAAACATCTCAAATGTCCAGTGACCGAGGTCTTGTACAAAGGCATGAGAAGAGGCTGCAGATGGAGGCAGGGGCTTGTGAGCCGTGCTTGGACTTGTGGACATCTTTGCTCCTTGATGGTAGGCTTACCATCTTGGTATTTATCTTTATCATTTGGTAGAGCAATACAAGAGAGTTGCAGTTAGTTACTCGCCTCTAGGAGTACAGGAATCTCTAGGGAAAGTTCAGGAAGAACTCCCATGGGGGAGTAGAGAGGAATCATGCTTTACCCAACGGCCAGCCTTTTGAAAACGGCTGAACACAAAACAAAACAGACTGTTGGATTAGGTCAGAATAACAGACATTCCACTTTTTAATGTGTTCATGGTTTTTACGAAACAAATCTCTTTGAATGATTGGATTGAAACCCTGGGAAATTGATAAATTGAGTCTATAGCCTAATAAGTCAGCATAGGTCTAGTTTCCACAGCAGGTGAGCTGTCAGTAGCTGGAAGCACTCAGCCTCTTGCATGGCTCCCGGCAGAGTTATTCACTGATGGACATCTTTAATGGTTTGCTTTTTTTAATCCTAGGATTTCCTTCAAATGCTGCTGGAGAACATCCCAGAAGAAAAAAGGTAAGGACTAATTTAGAAATTAAGAGCCCAGTTTTACTTTTAATGTTAAAAATGACATTGCCATTGGTTGGCTTATCGCAGCCTAGAAGGCTCAGTCTTTCTGTCTTAATAGGGGCAGGGACCTAGTTCTGCCATTGGGAGTACAAAATCATCAGCCAAACTTTGGGCCAAGACCCAGTGGATATAGGAAGCCAGTGCACACGACTGAAGACCCCCAAAGTCAGGAGCCCTGAAAGTGGTATGGGAGGCAAGCCAAGCACAATCTGTGGCCTTAGCTGCTGTGGAAAGAATGGAGGAGAGGGAAGTTTGAAAAGTCAAAGTAGCTCCAGTTAAGGTGGCTTAATATAAGGAGATGCTGTTTAATTAAAGGCAAAAATGTAGTTCAGTAGTAACAGCTTGGGATGTAAAATCAGGCTCTCCTAGATTTTGAGCCCAGCCCTGCCACTTTTGTTTGTTTGTTGAGATGGAGTGTCACTCTGTCACCCAGGATGGACTGCAGTGGCACAATCTTGGCTTACTGCAAACTCCACCTCTCAGGCTTAGGTGATTCTCCTGCCTCAGCCTCCTGCATAGCTGGGACTACAGGTGCGCACCACGCCCAGCTAACTTTTGTATTTTTAGTAGAGTCAGGGTTTCGCTATGTTGTCCAGGCTGGTCTTAAACACCTCACCTCAGGTGACCCGCCCCCCTTGGCCTCCCAAAGTGCTGGGATTATAGGCATGTGCCACCACACCCCACTAATTTTTGTAGTTTTAGTAGAGTTCCCAGGCTGGTCTCAAGCTCCTGACCTCAAGAGATCTACCTGCCTTGGCCTCCCAAAGTGCTGGAATTGCCAGTTCTTAGCTATGACATTTGGAGCAAGTCACATAATCCCTCCAAATTTCAGTTTTTTAACCTATCTGGCAGGGTTTTAGAGAGGGTTAAAGGAGCCAGCATATGTTTTAAAAGTAGGTGTTCAGTTAATGACTGATGTAGCTATTATAATCATCTGTGTATCAGGCACTGATCCAGGATCCAGGATCTACATACAGTAATCATTTAACTCTTACTATAGCATAGTTCAGCATCGTCATGATAGTGATTATTATAAGCCAGCACTGAAGTTGACCACATGCAGACACTCATTTAATCCTCAAAACAACACCATTTGGTCCATGATGTTTTTATTCCTGTTATACTAACAAGAGGACCAAGATCTCACAGCTGTATGTGGTAGGGTTGGAATTTTAGCCCAAGTAGTCTGGCTCTAGAACCTATGCTCTTATCTACTATGTTACAGTTGAGGAAACTGAGGTGCCAAGATCCTTCAGCAAGCAAAACAGCATAGATGGAATTAGGCCCATCTGGATCTGGCCCGTGTTTTTTCAGTATACTGCTCAGCACCAGCTCACTGCCCTGGAAGGAAGGAGATTCTCATTTTTGGAGGCATCCAGTTTTAGACTGACTGACCACTGACAGGGTTTGCAGGGGAGTCTTAGGACCAATGTTTAGGGTTAAAATAGGTTCATTCCAACCCTCTCCTAACTTCCTATCTTGGCTTAGGTGTTGAAAAGTGAATACCCTGAAACATAATTTCTTTT